AAATGTGTCTCTAACACTTTCACCCTTTCAAGTGACTAGCACCTAATGTCTCTGTACAATATCACCCCTGAATGAAACATTAAGGACACAAGAATAAAGGAAATGATCACCAACTGAAAAGCTTTAGATTTTGAATAAAATTCTCCTTGTCAGCACCTTTGGAAATGCCTGGAAAATAGTTTGGAGGGTATGCATACTGATAGTATGGTGTAGAGGGTTAGTAAGTTTGATCATCACAGTGTTGTTTGCTGTTTTTAGGTACGAAACAGACGACTTTGAATGAAGCATCGCCGACAGAGACGCCCGATAACTTGCAGAATGAGTTAATCTTATTTAAGTAACTCTCCTTTCCTGTTAAAAAAAAACACTAAGCAATAAGATTTGTATCTGTAAAAGAAGGATAAGTGGAACCTTCTTGTAATTTCGAGACAATAATTTTATGGCTTGTAAATATTACAATCATATTAACTTATTTCAAGAGTTCTAAATTTTTTATTGTAAATAAATTGGTAAATTTGACTGAAATTAACGTCGTTCTCTTGTTTTGTGTTTTGCGGCTATTTGCGCGTGGCAGGCAGCCTTATGATCGGTTCACCGCTTATTTGGCAGAGCATTATATCTGACCGATTATTTGAAAAATTGGACTAAGTTGAAATGCAAGGTTATTCAGGTAATTGGGTTAAACTCTAACTCGAAGCGAAAACCGTTCCCCATCCCCCTCCCCTGATGGAGAGGTTGCGTTAAGCGTTCTCCGGCCTGACCTCGACAGAAATTGTTAACCTTTGACTTGCGTTCGTGCGCTCTCCATTCAAAATCTCATCTTTTAATTGTGGAATCGTCACGTTCCCATACATCTTAAATCTGTGAAAGACTTTCCGGACATGTGTAACTGATTGGATTGTAGAAAGCTACTTGCTTTTTAAAGAAGATAATAAGACATCTTGTTTTGTTATGAATAGAACGCAACTTTCCCTATCTCGTTGAAGTTCCCCCAACGCTTCTCCCGGGCAGCCGTAAGTTTTGTCGGTTTATCTCTCATTGTGCCAGCATTTGATCTTTTCATAATTCACGAACTGACGATTCTCAGCTGAAAGTTATCCCCCTAGTTGGGTAATTTCATAAGTATGCACCATTTTATTTCGTTTAGTGACCGGAAAGCACGGGCTTATTGGGTAAATCCGACGGGTGGTCATTAGAGTGTTAAAGTGCTTCAGTCTTGCGAATCTAACAGGTATCAGTGACGGAATGCGAAAGCTTATGCGAGGGCAGGGAAATCTATTCAACCTTGATCATCATGCTGTATGCACCAAGCGCTTTGGTGAACCAGGTGCAGATTTACCCAAACATAAGCAGGCAAACTGTTCACTGTCAAGCAAACTGATGAGGTATAGCGCAGTATTAGGAGCATTCCCTTCCCATATAAGGCCAGAGTTCAGCACATGCGGACGTGTAACGTGGATTGCACTCTTCATTAGATCACGTCCCTTTTAAAGGATTCCTTAAGGCTCGTCGCCTTTCCTACTTCTACAAAAACTGAAATTAAACAATGGACGACGCCCCTCTGCTTAGATTTACCTCTGATAGAATACGTTTCGTTTAATTCCATTCAAAAATTGCTCAGTGGTGAAAGGAAGGCTCATTTAGGGTTAGATTTCAAGATAAGAGGCGAATAGATGTTTTCTTTACTTAAACGGCTGTTTGCGTATACTTTTATTTCCCCTGACTGCGACATTTGTTGTCAAATAAGCTTCTTAATGTTGTTAATGGTGTCGGTCATTTTGATGTAGATTAAAAACCGCAGAAATAGTTTTGGGAAAGGAACTATTCCTATATGGTAATCCGAAACTGCTGACAACATGTGGGTACAAAAAGCCCGCTCATAGGGAAATCCAAAACGGGCTGATTACTTATGTGAGAGGGGGCGTGTTACTCCGCGCTGAGTTTATTAAATCAGCATCTCATAATAAAGCACAGTCCCAGAAATTTTAGAATTCTTTTGTCGCGTGCAACTTTTAAGCAATACAATCCTAATGTTCTTATGACGAGACAAAAGTATTTTTCCAATGCGATTTACAAACAGAGGTCACTTTTTCGCTTGACCAAGGTAACAAGATTCTAATGAAATTTGAAAAATTACGTAACCAGTGTTGTAAGGAGATTGAGGGCCCTATGTGGTTTTTAAGTTATCGGAAGTGTTAACTAGGTTAAGTAAGAGAGAAGGAAACACGGTTAATCTTTTTTTTTTTTTTTGCAAAGTCGGTAACGTTTTCCTTGTGGAGACTTAACGCAACTTAAGTTAATCCGTTGAAGGTAATTAGAGTTTCGTGAGGTGAATCCTTGATCCTGATTTACACGAACACGAACCAAAGTGGGAAAGGATGAAAGGTCTTTTGAGATTTATAACATACATTTTCAGGAATTGATCATTGTTTATGAAATCTGAAATCATATTTGAAACCAGTCAGTGGGTTGTTCCTCGGCCATGACCGAACCCACCAAAGAATTTCAAGTATCCACAAGGTTGCATATCGGCCTACGACCTCTCGAAATGTTTGCTAAAGATAACAGTCTTTTCGGATGTTGATTTTAGGTCTTTTTCCCGTTTCGGCGTATACTGATTTCATCTTTTCGATAAATTTACCGGAAACTTATAGAGAATTATGATAGTTTTGACCTCTGGAGTCATTTCCAACGAGGAAAAATAAATAAAAAACAGCAAAAAAAGAAAAAAAAAAACACATGAAAACAAAAAGTGGAGTTAGCGGATTTGTGTTGTAAATATTACATAATCCATTCAGTATTCCGTAGCTATTTGAATTTTCGAAATGAACATACATTTTACTGTGTGTTCTCCTGCACGTTCTTCTTAATAATATTGTTAATATTTCCTGACCGCCCCAATGATTAAATGTTTCTAGCCTTCCGTTGACAAATCTTATTTGTTAACCCCAAAAGCCTCTGTTAGTCTAGCTGTAATCCATCACTAATACACGGAAAAAGCGTGTTCACAAGTCTACGCTATTACATGTTATTAAGAGCGTGTTAAAAATGGTTATCAAAGCTTTAAATTCATGGGGCTTTTGCCGCTTTTTGTCTGTTTCCGTAACTTCTTCCCTATAATTTTGGAATTACGAGGCCTTAAAAGCCGATCTCTATCCTCTTGTTTCAAATAACGTTTTCGGTAAAAGTATCAATCGACCTAAGTTGAAAAATAATCGACCATAATCAGTCACGGAAGCAATTAATCAGACAAGAAGTTATGAATCGTTTATATTGCCCACGAAAGCGATTTGCCCTAAGTTCGAATTCAGCTCAGAGTCTGCACTTCTCGTTGAGTGACTGAAGAGGGCAACTCCGTTATGACAATCTTCATGGGTAGCCCCGCTATATCATAACCAAAAGCAACCCCCAAAAGCCAAAGAAAAGCCTCTAAACTCGGCACTTAAAGAGTTTTATAATACTCTTTAGGTAAAATATTGTGTACGGTCAATTTACTTCAAATCACTTAGACGTGACACAACATATGCAGACAAGTATATTGATTTTTTCGAACAGAGACTCTGCTTTGCCTTTATATAAAATTTTTGAATCTTTGTGCTTAGAATTTTCCAGTTTTACGTTATGAATGTTCCGTAACTTGATCATTTTTCTAGCAATTGTATTAATTCATCAGACCTCACCTGCTGTTTTCGTCTTTCCATTGTGTTTGGAAACTTTTTTTTCAAAAGTCCTTATGATCTTTTAATGCTAACCTTACAATTACTTGTCAAGTTATCCATCATCAAAAGCCAATGTTCTTGTTTTGGGCCAATAGGATTTTTGGACTTAAATGGCTTGAAATAACAAGATTTTAATTGTCAGTTTCTGATGGATGACTCGACATTAATCAGAAAGTATTTAGCTTCGAAATCAAGAACGTTGATTTTCCATAGAGGCTATTACGAGTCAGTTGTAGCTTCCTATGATAATAATGTCACATAATTTAAACGAATGGAACGGCGCGGCCGGAACATCAAGCACAGAGGCGCTCAGAATTGACAGAAACAAGAATCTTCGAGATAGTGAAGATGCTGACCAACTCAAAAAAGACTTCTACATCCGAAAAACTCGGCAAAACACCTGTCTCGTGGCTGCTGTGTTGATTACCGTCCTTTCAGCCATCGCTTGTCTTATCTTAGTCATCTTTCTTGTCAGAGAAGTAAAAAAGAATCATCGGTCGAACATGGAGCCGACTAAAGCGCCTGGAGGCTCTATGAGTCTAGATCAACATTGTTACACCTCGGACTGCTTGCAGGTTGCTGCTTCCTTGAAACGGAACATGAACTCGTCTGTTGATCCCTGTGAAAACTTTTATGAACATTCTTGTGCTTCTTGGATCAGACTAAATCCGATTCCTCCCTCAAAAATTTTGTATGATACTTTCATTCAAGCTGATGACGAGAACGCGAGGAAGCTTCGTGAATTTATGGAAGAAGTGGATGAGCTTCCGGAACAAAGTGCTGTTAAGAAGACTAAACGTTACTTTCACTCCTGCGTTGATGAGGAAGCAGTGGAACAGGCAACAAACACCAGTCTGACACCACACATATCCAAGTATGGCTCTTGGCCCTTGGATAAGAAAACGTGGAACGCCTCGGAGTGGGAATGGTCTAAGGTTTTGCAAACAATGATCAGAGATCTTACAGACACACCCCTCTTCAGCGTAGAAATTGACATCGATCCTCAAAATTCTTCTCAGCATATGATATTGGTAAGTGATTTTCATAACAGTAAAGAAATTACATCTGAACTTGGCCTGATAAATATTGTACTACTTCTTTAGAGTTTTTTTTTTTTCAGTTACAGAAAGTGATAGAACCTATGATAACCTTAAAGGCTTACAATGGCTTAAAGTAAGAACTTAAGGGTACCAGTTTACTCTAAACATAAAAAAATGTGACCTTTTCCTGATAAAGTTTAGTAATCTCTTGTTTCTAAGAGACTCTAGACGACCGCGCAAAATAGCAAACATATTTGAACGAAAAAGATTTGAGCGACATTTTAAGGAGTACTGTTGAACCTTGATTATCAGGACTCGTTGAGACTGGACGAAATAGTCAGGATAATCAAGAATATGAATATTAATGAGATACAAAAACTGATTAAATGAAGAAAGTGACATTTAATCGTGAAACAAAACATTTACAAATCGTTCTGAAAAAAATGTGGTCTACATCTACACTGTTGTGAATACCTCTACAAGTGTGTATTAACAATTAAAATTGGTGAAAAATGTTTTTACATAGGCCTAAAATGTCGAAGTAAGTCAGTTTGTCTTAAAGAAGAACATCGCGTGCGCATTGAGAGTTCCATCATTCTTCGAAGCTGCACAATCTGGATAGCGTCAACATTGTTCTGTCTTTCCATCCATAATAAACACTTTTTAAAGCATTCAACAGCTTCAGAGTTCGAAACAATTTTCTCATCTTGGCCTTCATCTTCCTAATCGCCGCTGCTTTTATCTTTCAAAGAAGACTGTCTAACAAAGCTCTCTAAAATTTGCTCATCTGACAACTGCTGCGATGTTAAGAGTTCATTTTCACTTAGCAACAAAGCAACTCTAAGCCAACTAGACCTCAATCGAATGTTCTTTATTAGTTACAACACGTGCAAGCGCTGCTTTTGCTTTTTGAAAGCGAGACAAACTCCGGGTAATTGAGAAATCCGGATAATCGAGGTCCGGATAATCGAGGTTGGGCTGTACTTCTGCTTCAGTTGCAAAGCTTGGTTTGAAACTCAAAATGTCAAGCAACATCCCTGAATCAATTCTACAAAGCGAGTGATGTTGGCTGCTGGTGACATTTGTACTGTTGTGATCATTGTCAGTTATTATTCAATGCTGTTACAGCTTCAGTTTCTCTTTCCCCTTTTCTCTTCTGTCTCTAGCACTACTGCTGCTGTTACTTACGTAACCAATTGAAATAAAGATACATAATTCCACAGATTAATAACAGAGCAAGTCCTTGCCACATTTCAAACCATACGTGTTAGATGTTATGTCTGGATCTTTAAAATGTAATCAATGATTTGAAATCATTAGAGAGAACTTCTATGGAGAGACCTTTCGACTTCATCGGAACGTTTTGTTTATCAATTTACGTGCTGTGCTTTGCCAGGCATTTTATAAGCTTTGCTTGTGGGAAATTTGACTTATAGATGTGAAATTAAAAAAACTTGAAGACGTCGAAATCTTATGAATATAAAAAAAATTGTGTAAGGCTGTGTTTGATTGAGGAAAAGAAACCAAAAACTTTAACTGAAATATTCCTTTTCCGGTGAGTAACAGCTTGGCGGGTGAAAGTTTAAAACACTGAAATAATTACTCGAATACGATTTTTGAGTTTATTTGTATCTATTTAGATTGTAAAACGTGTTGTGTTTTCATCAAATTTTGGCTTAAAAGGTCAGTGAAATAACCAGCGCGGTAAATGCTTGAAAGAAGAGGAATTAATTCAATTAATTCAAGTAGATCGAAGTTGTGAATTTACCTAAAGTTATAAGCCATAATCCATAATCCAGGTTAGAATTTTGTACCCAACAACTATTAAATTAGATTATACGTTTGATTTATTGAACAGCTTATCGTATCTACCCATTAATATAGCTATATACAAGAAACTTACTTCAGCCCTTAAAACGCAAATATAACAGTAATTTTTGTTGTAAAAATCGAGACGAACCTCTTCTGTAATGGATTAAACGAAATGACTGCGTCTGTACCCAGTATTCATCGACTGTTTTCCTTGCCTTGGTTCTTATCTTTGAGAGAGTAATTTCTCGGACTTATCGGTAATTAAATGGCAGTTTTGAGTGAGAAGCCAAAGAAGAGCATATGCACTTATCTACGAATGTGGTTTGCTGCCCGGAATCACTCTGTGGTAAAAATATGGCCTCCCGCTTCGTTCTAATATTCATTATCATTTTTTAACTAATCTTCATTTTAGTTCATGATAAATAAAAAAAAAAAAGCTAGAAACTACAGATTTTGGAAATTTGTCAAGCCTTTTCCTTTTATTAAGATTGTCAAATCATTGTGTAAGATATTTATAGGTCAATTTGAGTTAAACCGAAATCCGTGCGCATATAGATCATTCACCGGCAATGTTTTTAACCTTCAAATGCACAGCCCATTCAACTTTTAATAAGCAGAAAACAAATTAAATTTCTTATCTTGACACTGGAGGAAGCATCTTTGTGCCAGAGTAAACGTAAAATCATTTCAACCGGGCAACAGATTTATTTGGTACTCAAAAAGTGCGTCATGCATCATTCTGTTGTTATTCCTTTTGTAGATATCAAAGTTAATCAATTAATAATATTTTATCCAATCTTTAAGGGACTAAAGCATCGACCAAATTCACTGACCCAATAGCATCTCAGGAGATGACGAGCAGCAAAGCTTTTAAAGGGGGAACTGAGATGAACTTTTCATTGGTGATTCGTTAGAAGAGCAAAGTCCGACTTAACTTCGCTTACGCTGAAATAGGTCAGAAAAAAAAATCAATCAACATCCGGTGTAGCACCCTTTGCACATGGTAGTGCTGTAACCTATTTCGTTGATCACATGTCGGCCACGTGACTATTGCGTTTTCTCAACTGCGTTGATAATTAAAATTGACCACCGTAAAGAGTTTCAAAGCTGACGTCTGGAGCGTCAGCCCTTTGTCATTTGCTACGAAATACCCGTCAGCGACGCAGCGCCACAGTTTCTATAGAAACTTGCCCCCTTCATTTACGTGATTATTAACTCACACCTTTTTCCTTCATCACTGTTTTTCCATTAAATGTAGGGGAGCAGTGGGTGAAGTACTTCGATCTTCGATTCGGCGATGCATGATTCGTTAGAATCTACTCGACTAAACTGGTGAATGATTGTTACTTTGGAATTTTTTGTCTATTTTTTGGAGAATACATGACACAGCAAATATAACACTGTACGTATTTAAAAAATCTCGCTACCCGGCTGGGGTTTTCGGTAGACACCTGGATGATCGGAAATTTTGGAAAACCCTCAGTTTCTTTTTCTTCTTTAGATCATGTCTGGCATATATCTAGGCCCAATTTCGTAAACAGGAAATAAACCTTTTTTCCAGAAGTGACAGAAGTGTAACACTCGTCCACTTACCAAAAAACTGCATTCGATCGGTTTAGTACAGAGTGATTTTTTGTATCTACAGAAACACGTCAATCTTAGGGCTTCTGAGAGCGGGCTCTTTGAAACGGCTTTATCTCATAGATCTACGCTTTATGGTGGAATATTTCGGAAGGACAAAGGAGAGGCTGTAAAAGGCAAATTTCGGTCTATCGACTCCAAAGGATTCAGCAAATTATCATCTCATTTGTTTAATTAAAACCGGCAACACATAAAATGAGCCATATCTGCCCTGAATTTACCATCTTTTGAAATATTGAATCTTAATTATTACAAGATACTCCCCTAACCCAAATTGGTGCTCGTCATCCGATAGATCCCAGTTAAAATAAGTGTTGACGGGTATCAATCAATCAAGCAATCAATTTTTTACCTCTCCAGGAAGTGCTTTGAAGCATAATTATGCTCGACAAAACAAGACGCTCGTATAAAAAAAAATTACAAATTTAAAAACTAAAAGTATGCAAGATACGTAATGGATTGAAAGATGAATAAGTAAGTGAACGAATCTTTAAAGAATAATTACACATTTTATCAGGCATTGGTAAAAAATTCAATTTAGATAGTCTGGCAGTAAATGAAAGTTTAACAGTAAGCAAAAGCGGAAGCTTGAACCTCAAAGGTCCGTCGCACCCGGGGGGGAAAAAACGACACTTGAACTCAAACAAGCAGCATTTTGCGGAGTTGGGCCTACAGGAGGGCCGCGACATCTGTACCAAAGACGAAAAGAAGACAAGTAGGCGGAGCTCCTGCTATGCAACAGGGTCGTCATGGCCTATAAAACAGTACTGAAAAAAATTTCTAGGCTATGACGCGTACGGACCGAGCGCAGCGAGGTCCAAGCCTTATTTCTAAAAGCCAGATATTTTTCTGTCTGGCTCGACCTTACTTAGTCAATAACCATTCTATCATAGGACCGTCTATTTTTTTCTTCTTCCCACAGACCTTCTTTCAGCTCGCTTCCCGTGAAGGGCCCACAAAGTTGTGTAAGCCCCCCAATGTTGGAAACAACTCTGAAAGTTGTCATATGACAGTTTAGCACATGTCTAAACAAAGCAACCTCTTTTCCTATGGATGGACATCTCAATAACTTCGGTCAAAAGTCTTCCGCCGGAGGAAATGAAAGGGTCAATTTTTTATTTTCAACTTAATTATTTCCGAGCCTCGGAAAATAGCCACTCAGAGTGTGGTGAGTAATACTTGACTCATGAGAAATACCCGTGGAGCCTCATGCTTGGTACATTGTGCAAAACTTCGGCGTCCAATCAGAAAGACGTAATCCGGCAAAGTGGAGAGTTTCTGTGATGCTCGTGCAAATCATAGACTGATGGAAAGTGTCAGTTTGTAATGCAGTGGTGGTATAATTTCTGTTGGATAGATAGTAGAAGAACTGTTTTTTTTTTTCGTCATGACCCCTGCCTGAAAGTCACGAAATTTGCTCACACCCGGTCCTCTCTCAGGGTGGCTGACAGTCAATTGTGAACTCAAATTCTTGAAAAGTCTCCTCAAGTGGTACTTCGTTCAAAAGGACGACAACACGCCTGTGGTAACGAGGTTAACTGGAGTTTCGTTAGCTTTGATATAAGCATGTATTTAGTGGTAGATCATTGCAGCATAGAACTTGGAGCGGTATAACCCATACATTTACTGTAAATTACAGACGGATTGCGATGGCTTCCTGCTCAAATCTGATATGCCGAAGAGAGACATCAATTCTGAATTCAAAGAACCCGGATTGATGTGAAACCTCTTTACACGTCTTTTGTTAACAAGCAGACCTCTGTAATTAAAAAGAAATCTCTACTCCGTCTAAACATGCCTAATTATTGTCTCCGCTAAAAATTCATATACTGGTTTTTGCGGCTATAACTGACCCACAGCTGTTTTGTTTATTTCATCTTCTCATTTTCATCACTCATCATTCTGGTGAAATGAGTCTAGACGGCCCTTTTATCTGACAATTAGAGTGCCCTTAATGCAATTATGTTGACTGACTTATCATAACAGTGCTCAGGTGGGTGGAGTCAAGTTTTGCGTTAGGCAAATAGTCATATGATGCAATCTTGGCTTGCGTTGTTCTTTAATTCTTTTTTGTTTTGCCTTGTTTGGTTTGTTTTTTCTCGTGTTTTGTCTTCATTTGTGAACACGTTTAAATTTCCGTGGATTGATGTTTGGAGGTTGATCTTACAGTGGATGTAGTTCGAAACTTCAGATTATCATTAAACTTCAGGCCGTGATTATGTTTGGGAAATCGCGTAGTTTAGCACACTATATCTAACTGTGCACCTTGCATTGATCTTCTTGCAACGCTGGGTGGCGACCAAAAGAGATAAAAGTCAAAGATAACAAAATGCATGTCACTGCGAGCATAAGAAAGAGTGAGCGGAAAAATTAACCCTTTGTCAGGCAGTACGCCTCATAAAAGGTTCCGAAAGGTTTCTAAGGAAATCTCGAAACAAAAGAATGTTTAGTGTAAACATCGCACTTAAACAAGCTTATCTTATGTCACAATCTGACGTCAGCTCATTACGGAATTCCATGTCAATACTGTCATAAAATAAAACACATACAAAACGTTTGGATGTTAAGTAAGCACTCTAGTGTTGCTACCGCAGGAGGCAACGTAACAAGGACCTGGAGTTAAGATGGATTCAAATGGATCTAAAGTTGATACAGAGCCGGGTTTTACTTCAAGCACCATGAGCTTGGGTGTCCACTCTCAATCAAGTCGTTCTCTCTTTTACTCTAAAGGGAGGAAGAAAGTGATCATGGGTTTGATTTTCGCTTGTGTAACATTGCTTCTCATCTGCATTGCTCTCACTGTGTACCTTGTTGTAGTTGCTTCTCGTGACCATGAGAAAGATATAGCGGGTAAAGCAGATGGGAAGAATGGAAAAATGCAAAAGCAATGCGCTTCGGATGCATGTTTGGCAGTGGCATCTGCATTGAAGAGGAACATGAACGAATCTGTCGACCCGTGTAAGGACTTCTTCCACTATTCCTGCGACGGTTGGATAAAGCACAACCCCATCCCGCCATCTCTCAACTGGTTCTCCACTTTTGGAAAATTGGCCAAGCTTAACAGCGAAAAAGTGTTGCTACTTCTTCTACAAAATGATGAGCTGCCCAAAGAACACGCTGTTTGGAAAACTAGAAACTATTTCAAGTCATGCATGGCTGAGGAAGAAATCGAAAAAACTGCCTTAAACGAAGTAAAAAGCCTCATCACCGGACTCGGTTCGTGGCCTCTTAGTGATGCTTCTTGGAACGAGTCAACATGGAATCCTATCAAACTTTTAGCGGAGTTTCAAAGGGATTTTTCGTCCGGGTCACCTATGTTTGTACTAGGCTTGAATGTAAACCCTTTCAACTCTTCGAAACACATATTACAGGTATTACATTACTAGGACAATTATTGTCTTTTAGAGCTCATCAAATGATTATGGCCATTACCAATTTCAATGCCACGCTTTAAATTGTAATCATAAAACCATTTGCTTACTATTGTTTGTTTTCTCAAACGGGTGGCAGACCCCCAAGTTGTGTAAGGTGCCTAAGAGAGAACCTTTCGTGGTTTTTTTTTCCAACGCGTTAATCAAAGGATACCGAGCGTCGGTAAATCAAGTAATACATCACTGACATATTTCGATGCACACTTAAGGCTATCGTTAATGTACAGGTATCATACGACCCCCCCGAAAGGGTTATCGGTAACAGCTATACAAACGGCAAAAGGGTCATGGTGGCGCTAACATTGACCATTGAATAATTTATAATGATTACATTTCGACGACAAAAGCTTGCAATTGAAAAAGGCCAAGATGCCTAATAAGATTCACAACATATCGTATTATGTTGACTGAAACAGGTCAATTTAATGCAACGAATCACTGGGCTGTCGATCACCTTTTAGTAAGTTCATTATCCCCAGGGATTTTGTTTATGCTGTTTAAGCTTTTTCGAAGTCTAATTTTGGCATTTTTAGGTCTTACCGCCTAAGTCTTTATTGAGGACGTTTCCCGTTGTTAAGCTGGACGTAAATATTGACAGACCTCTGTAAACGAGCCGTGCAAAGTGGAAAAAAAATGAAAAAAGAAAAAAAAAGGTTTCCATACATTGCTTGCTCTCTCGGGCTTTGAGAGTTTCTCATTTCGATGTGCTTGTTTACTGTAAGGTAATAAATATATTTCTGGGGTGAAGGGAATTACAAAATAGTGGCTTTCAATAGACTAAAATTTGCATTTGGAACGTTTGGTGACATGGCGAGGTATGCTCCAAACCAAAGAAAGAAAAAAGAGTCAAGAATATGTATTATGAACGGAACACTGTAGCCTTTTACAGCGATAATCATTTAAGCTTCTTGGACTACAACTGGCTAAATTTGTCAAAATTGTATGCTTTTTTGCAGATAATGCCTCCTTCTTTAAGTCTGATTCGTGAGAAGTACCTAGCCCCGGAGAACAAGGTATTCTCTGTTAATCACTAAAAAGTTTTCTACTCGATCATACAGTCACATCAAGTTGTCGGAAAAACGCTGAGACAGTACTTACTAAGATAAGCAGATTACGTCTCCTGATGGTGCGGTCCGACCATTATTTTAGAGCTTAAACAGTCAACGGCAAAGCCGAAAAAACCTGCGAGCTTAAGCCATTATGAAGGCAAAGCGTGGGGAAACTGAAAAAAATTGTTTTTCTATTCTTTCATCGAGAGAGGTCCCTTAGCAAGGTGTGAAGATATCGTTTAAAAAATTGAAAAATAGGAAATTTTTTATAGGGGTTTCCGTTCTGAAAATGTGCAAACTGAGTTAATTCATCAGTGTCACTTTGTAAACGACGGCTAAGAAATACCAGAGTATAAAAGCTTTTAGGGTAAAAGCTTTCACTCGCACAAATCACCCGATACATTGCTAAAGACAAAGGTAATGAGAGGACGTGGAAAATATCAACCAGAGGATATTGTGTGAATTGACACCAACTTTAGGGCCAAAAGTACGTAAAAGTTAAGGCAGACAGTAAGAAGAACTTATATGAGATCTTGAATTTCATTAAATTTGTTGTTTCCTTCCCCCCAAAAGGCCGAGATAATACCTGTACCGACCAGTTCTGCCATTCAAAATGAATTAAAGTAATCGTTATATTCCATTTTAGACACGATTGGCTTATCTGAAATTCATGACAAAAGTGGGAAAGCTTCTTGGCGGAGGAAACGACACAAGAGATCAAATGGCGGCGGTTATGGAGCTAGAGACAAGGCTGGCAAACGTACGCAAATGATAATCTGCCATTTTGCTTTAAAGAAAAGTTAGCGAATCCACTTGATTTCATTTATATCGGGAAATTAAAGTTTGTTCTTTGTCCGTCAAGGCAAATGAAACGTTCTCACTGGAGTATTTGACTTAGTTATGCGGGAAAGATAGGTGTGGGGGTGGGGGGGGAAGGGGAGGGTGGGGAGAGACTAGGGAGAGGCGACGGAGAGGTGTTATCGTGGAATCGAAATTTCCCATCAGTTTTATCAGGCCGGGTTCATCTCCTTGTCTTCTATCCAAACAGAGCCTCTCTCAACCCAGAAATATGGATAGATACTAGCGAACTGTCTGGTTACCTGATGGTCAACCATCTATGTTGGCAGAACGAAATATCCTCACTCTTAGTTATTTAAGGCTATTTTGCATGAAAGCTGCAGCTTTTTCCCTAATTTTATTTCAGATCACTCCACCGAGGAGCGTTTTAATGCGTAATTACCATCGCAACATGAACATATCAGAACTCGAACGACAAGCACCTGGTTTCAATGTAAGTTGTTAGAAAAGGTTTCAACTGAATGTCGAAAAAACAAAACCAAAATAATGTCAGTCGTAACAGAGGTTTACACTATTATTAGCCGATCAGGGCTCAAATTAAAAACAGTCAAACCATCAGTAACGTCAGAAAACACGGGCGACCAAGTTGTGATTGGTTTTCGTTTTGCGTCTGATTGATTGAGAGGATGACGCGAGCTTTTAAGATCAATCACAGACTGAATTTATGCAGAAAACCAAAACAATGTCAGATCACTTTTCATGAGCATCACAACAAACTACAATCAATTACAGCTGTAATTGAGACTCTGTCGGAACTTATGATCGCTGAAAATTTTAATTTTCTGGCAAACAATTCCCAGAATAAGCGAATTGCTTAGAAAAAAATTTTTTTTTTCCGAATGCAAATGTCTTTGCAACAGAAGTTGTTCTGCTCTCTCTGAATTTTTTGCCACAACCAGCGAGTTATACGACATGAAAAAGGCTATTTTTGCTATGATAGTTAAATTTCTCATGTGTAAAATTAAAAGCTATGCTTGATTTTCTTTTAGTTCAAGTGGTTAAACTACATTAACGATGTATTAAAACCTTTCAACGTATGGGTGAACATCACTGACAACATTCTCGTCCCATCGCCAGAGTATCTGAAGAGTTTGTCCTCTATTGTTTATGAGACAGATAAGAGGTAAGCTGGAATCGGTGAAACTTCTCACCTCAATGTCAGTTAGACGTGTACTCTAATTTCTAATAATAATCTCTTTTCAGACTTAGATTACCCCAAAAATTATTTCCACCGGTAGCAGTTCGAAGATTATCAACGTAGATCTTTTCCTTTAAACTCAAATACTTTAAGTTGTCAGTGCGCCAAACATGAACAATTTTCTTTTCAGAATCCTGTCGAATTACATGATGTGGACGCTCGTGCGCTCTTCTGTTCCATATCTGTCACGTGATTTCCGAGAAGCTAAACTGGAATATCAAAAGGAAGTAGAGGGAAAGAAATCGGCCACGCCTCGATGGTTGTACTGTGTGGAAGAAATGAATGGCTATTACCATGGGCTTACTTATGCATTGGGTTATATGTATGTTACCGACGCCTTCGACACTGAAATCATACCATTTGTGAGTGAGAAACTAAACCTTTCCCTTATTCCTGTTTATTGGTGATAAGAATTGAGATGATATCCAGTCGTTCCGTACCACGAAAGGTTTGAACTCGTTCGATTAGTACCCATTTTATGTCAGTTCCTACCCAACCTGAGCAATCCCGAGGTAGCAGTTACGGCTTTGTAAGATTTTTTCGCTTATTTCTGAGCACAGCTGAAATCAAAATGTGGTAAGAACAAAAAAGAGGTACACGAAGCGCAGCCGAGTGTGTCACTGATGTTCCTATCACAATTTCACTTTATCTGTCATAATTTATTGTATAGACCCATCGCCACATGGAATCTACTTTTTTATATGGTAAAAAAAGCGAAATGTTGTTGATGGTGATGTCATCTGTGGGGCCGTCCTCCAATAGATCATAGGTAAGAACCAATCAAAGCGCGTGTATCAATCAGCTTATCATATGATTATTTGAAGATACAAGAGATGATGTCAACTATAAGGCAAACTTTTCGAGACGAGACATCTCGCGACGATTGGATCGATGAACAAACACGCCAAAAAATAATTGAAAAGGTTAGCACTGTTTTATATTTAACTTAGATTGGTAGCTTGATTGTCCTTAATCGCACAAATCCTCAGTATGACAACTTCAGTAAATTGGCTTTCTTTTTAGACCTGCAGTACAGCCGTACAAACTTTCTCCTCGTAACATTGTATCCCTCCATCCTTTTTTTTTTTCAAGTCGAGAGGAAGATCACGATAGAAAAAATATCCAAAAAATGAAGCAGGACGGTGACGGGGTAGGTCGTGGACCAGAGAAAACTAAAACTATAGGGAAGCTTCGAATACAGATCACTATATAGTCCTATACACATGGAATATAGCCTCGTGAAATGAAGATTCATTCTGCGAGGTACCCATACACAGGGGAATCGCTCCTTGAAATCTTTCTGAACAACTTTAGGTATTCACTCGGCAAAAGAATAAATATAACTCTAAATAGCTAACTTCAGATGACTCTTTGACGAGCTCTTAATTAATTGCAGGAAAAAGCAATGAAAAACAAGGTTGGCTTTCCGAAGCTCTGTGCCAATGAAACTTTACTGAACGAGTATTACAAAGATGTAAGTACCGTTGACGCAACTCTGGAACGTGTATAAGTTGCGCGCACCTTAGGACCCAGTCCCCCCCCCCTGAGGTGGGGGGGGGGGAGTGTCGAAGAACTTTGCCTGTGCCATGAAAAAGTTTACGTACTCTTCCCGATTAGGCTCTGCAGTATTCTAATGATCTCCTCTCATTCTACCCCCACCCCTCACCCCAAATAATTAAGGAGTGGTCCCTTTTCATTCAGTTCCTGAAGCTTGTTTGACTTGACATTAAAAAGATTAATTTCATTCCGTTGTCATTATTTGTTTTAAGGTTAACGTTAGTCGCAGTAATTATTTTAGAAATGCCTTGGATGTGATGAAATGGCGAACACACTCTCAATTTTCGAGACTCAAGACTCCAGTTGACAAAGAACAGTAAGTAGTTACCAATTAAGTAGTGGGGCACTAAAGTTCGTTGCCATGAGGTCCTCATGGTACGGCGTGCGAGCGTTAGACGCGAGAGCTTGGTAAAGAGCGCAGTGATATCTGCGTCAAAAGGTCCAGCATGTAGCCTTGGCTACTGTTGTTCGTTGTTATCTATCTTTGTTTAGTTTACGATTTCTATCGAATTTCTTTTCCTCTAGTTGGGAGACGCGGTTGCTTCCTAGTTAGTATGCTGAACTCCGAGTCGACAGTTTCGGGTTTGAGACCAGGCTGTGTAATTGTGTTGTGTTCTTGAGCAAAATACTTTTCCCTCACAATGCCTCTCTCTCCACCCAGGAATGTACATGGGTACTGGCGAATTGACAGGGATGTCTGGTGAAAACCTGGGGGGTGATGGAGTGGCATCCCTTCCAGAGGGGAGTACTGATACTCCTAGTCGCCTCATAATATGGAAAGCGAGATGAGCTCCGGCTTGATTGACCACTTGGTTCGAGTACCTGCCTTTACTCCCTTCCCTTTTTTTTAACTTGTTTACAGAAGCCAATGTAATGCCATGTTTAACTTCTGCTTCTCTTTTGTCTCACCCAATTTTTTTCATTTGATTTTCACAGGTGGTTTGTCGGCCCACAGCTGGTCAACGCTTTTTACCTTCCTAATAGAAACGAAATAAGTAAGAATCGTTTTAGGAAAAAGCAGTGTGCTTGTTCTTTGTTTTCCTTTTTTTAAAATTTCCTTGAAACTACTTCAGTGCTAGAAAAATATCAAATGAAGGAGGTGTGTTGGGGTGTTCAACGAGTAGTACAGTAACTGATGAAGCCCTTGCGCATCATTCAATTTAAGGACCAAGTAAGAACGATCCCAATATCATTTTGTTTCAAAGTCTGTGTCAAACTCCAGTTGTTCATTGAAGTTAACCAAACATTTCTTTTTTATTCATGATCGACTAGACATCCTGGCTGGAATTCTGCAGCCTCCATTTTATTACGGACGAAAAGCACCCAGGTATGAAGGTTTTATGTAAGAGCGTGTTAGTCAAGCGGAGGTAGCGCGTGGAAAGCGCAACACAAACTTGAAACGTGCACGAAGGGCAAATCACGCGCAAGAGGATGAGTACAAAAAAAAAAAGATCTGATTTGACCAAAGCTTAGCTTTCCGTAAACACTGATATAAAAAATTCTAAAGCAAACATCATCGTTGTATATGTCATTTGCAGACAGTATCCCTATCATTTATTCAGGAGCAAGGTTTCGTTTTAAATTATCTAGGCTCTAACCTTTCATATCTCACACTTTTAGGGCAGTCAACTTTGGAGCAATAGGAATGGTTCTTGGTCATGAGCTTTCACACGGGTTTGACGCAATAGGTAAGTGGCAGATTACACACAGACGCTGAACTACAAAATTTTGATGCAGAGCATTTAGTTAGATTAAAAAATTGCGATTAAGGCAGTTTTCATTTTTCAGTCAAAAAGCCTCGTTCTCGCGCCTTTATCTCAGCACCAGATCTCTGACTCGTGAGAACACGGAAAGAAGCTATTAGTTCGCGAAACAGAGATCGAATGATACTTACATATTACGGTTGACATCCAGAGTTGTATCCAGGAAATGATATGGTGTAATTTGATTAAAGTAATCGTCAAGAGATTGTGGGTTTCAGTGAAGAACGACTACATTAAGCAGGTTGCCATTCACGGTAACTAAAATACGTTTCTTATACCAGGGAGATATTTCAACGAAAATGGAGAGATAACAGGCGATTGGTGGACTGCAGATACTTCAAAAAAGTTCGAAGAGAAGTCAAAGTGTTTCGTCGATCAATACAACAAATACTCTGTGGACGGCGAAAATGGTCCAATACATGTAAGTTTTGATGGAATGATAACCTAAAAAAGCAGAGAAGTCGTTAATTTAATGGATATCAGCGCCACTGTAGCTTGCCAGCTCTTGAGACTTTTAAGGTTCTTCGAGAAAGATCTTTGCGTTCGAATCCCGGAAAGGTAATTAGCAGGCTCTGTGTGCTCTGACTAGGTTACTAAGCCCTCATTGACTGCTTCGTACTCGTCTCTTGGATTCATACTTATAATATTTGTTGTTTTGGTGCTTGTGGAACTTTTTAGAATACTGTTTGTTAACATTTTAAAAAAGCAATATTTTATATTAAAACTGCTCATCACATTTTAATCAAGTCTAAATAAACAATGTATCCTAGAAATGATATGAAAGAATTTTCGCATGAGACTGGTTTCCAATAAGTTGTAAAAGAGATTTCAAATGCAGTACAATTTCAATCGATAATTCTTTTAAGTAATACTCTTTCAAACTTTTTAGCTGATCCAAAGTGCTCTTCAATTGTATTTATGATCTACCTTTCAAACAGATTAATGGAGAGCTCTCTCTGAGTGAAAACATCGCCGACAATGGAGGAATCAGACTGGCTTACTGGGTAAATGTTTTGGCTACATTGATAACAAATCAATTCTTTGATAATGAGTTTCTCTTAGAAAGGCATCGCAAGTTATTCTAAAAGTGGAAAGAACCAAGCAATACAACAGTCAAGCCTATCCCCTCTGTTCAATAGGATCGATTTTAAAAACGTAAACACACCTCTTTTCCCCGTTTCTTGGTGATTTGTTTGAACAAAAGAAAGCTATATAAAAGAAACCTTGGCTCGAAAAATTACCCTTTGTAATGACCAGAACAAAAGCTGTCTGTGAGATGCGTCTTTTTGTTTTCCTGTGCGGCCAGGCCTCTTAACTGTTTTGGAAATTGCAGTGTCTTTAATCGATTCTTTGGCAAATCAGAAGAAAATGTTCAAACGGTTAGTTTTAACTTCGAAATCTCAAACCGCGACAAAAAAATTTCTGATGCTTTTTAAATGCAAGTAATCAGTGATGAGAATCATATGGTTGGCGCAATTTTTTACGGTTTGAAAATTCTGGTTAATGAGAATGAATGTGATAGGTTTTGTTCTTACCAACAGGGATACAAGGACTGGGTTAACAAAAATGGTCCTGAACTTCGGCTGCCCGGCCTCAATATGACAAATGAGCAGCTCTTGTTCGTTAGCTTCGCTCAGGTAAAGATCTGGATTGAAGTATTTGAAGTGTTCAAAATTCTTTGATGAGACACCCTCTGCGGTCTAGGTCCCTCTTTTTTCGGTGAAGTACGTCGCACGAGTCAAACAAAAACAAGCGTGAACAATAAATTGATGTTCGCGCTTTACTTTTACAGCATCCTCTATCAGCAATTTGAAAGAATGTGAAAATTATTGTAAAATAAATTGTTACAGAGCAGCAGTTTCAGCGGCCACTCTCCCGTCCCCCCCCTCCCCCTCAAATCGGAAAGGGTCCATACTCCATCCTTTTCCTGCTTAAAAACGTAACAAGCTCGTCATTTTTTAACCAATAAGATCATAGAGAGGTAACATTTTGGGGTATATTACAATAACTTGGGAAATCTTTCATTCTCGACAGATGTGGTGCAGTACATTTACTCCGTCAGCTGCCTATGAACTGGCAACAACAGACACTCATACCCTGGCTAATTACAGGTACATATACACGAAGGGAAATAGAAAGAAATTCGCCTGTAACAAGGGTAGGGGGGGGAGGGGGTATAGACCGAACAGGTATATAAAGGAAATGAAATTCGATGATTCTTTGATCCTTTGTTTGTTTGTTTATTTGTTTTTTTGTTTCTAGGGTTATCGGTTCTCTTTCAAATATGAAAGAGTTCTCTGATGTCTTCAAGTGCCCCTCAGATAGCAGGATGAATCCTGAGAAGAAATGTAAAATATGGTAAAACACTTAAAGGGACCTTTTTAAACTGAGATCTCGACTCTTTTGAAATGTCCCAAGACGGAACAAATGTGGTCTGTATTTCTTTCTCAGTGGAGGGTATTTGCAAGAACTAAAAACTTCATTACAGCTTTTGGAATATCTCACATTTTTCCGGTATTTTGTTCGAGATTTAATCTTGCTAATGTTATAAACGAAATATGTTAAATAATAACATAGTTTTTAAGTTTTTTTTTACCAATTTAATGCGACAAGAGAATATCAGTTTATAATCTGTTGGATGCGAATATTTCAGTATACATTCATTTCGCTGTGCTATAGTTTAGAGAATAAGCCGTTAGGTCGATTTTCTGTCCTGAAGCTGACAATTTTCTCAGTACTCATCAATTATACACGATCTACAAGGACAAAATATGCAGAAATTTAATACTGTCTCAAATGACACTTTTGGTTACGATCGTTAAACAACAATTGTATATTTTCATTTCTATATTCAAGTAGCTTCAACAAACGAAAGTACGGGCTTCTACTCCCAGAACTACGTGAATAATTGCAATTGCAATTAGACTCCTCGCTAATAAACATACTTTTTGTCCAACACAACTTAAATGAGGGTTTGCGACTTAGCTTGATTGCTTATTTTTCATAAAAATGAAGCTAGTTCGAGTATTAAATACATGCTTAATAACTAGAAGTATTACAGTTATTTTGGCAGTTTTACTTTAGAGCAGACCGGTTAGAGTTTTTTTGTTTTGTCCTTTCGTGGCATTTATGCGAAGTCATCGTTCGCCGGCGAACGATTTGTTTTGGGATGAATTAATGAAATAGTAATTACTTTTTATTCATTGGGAGTGAATAATACTACTACAGCTTGTGTCTAAGCAGAGTGGATTACAACTTGTTAGGCTTAGTTTCTACAAAACTGAATACAAACATTACCATTTTATACTTTGTCATTGCGCTACATTTCTGCATAGCAGCGTCTACATATTCTTAGGCTATCAGTTTTCGTAAGATCGCCGGGCTGGGGAATAGAAGAAGGAGAACTGGGAAAGAGGGCGATTTCAAGTCGAAGAGAAAAACAGGCTTAAAAGAATTCTCCCCATAATCCACTCTTAAATGAAAAACGAACGTTCTGCGAACGTGGAGACAAGTAACGACTGGCATTGAAAGCGCTCTTTTTGTGACAACCATTAACATTGTCATAGCATTGCTGTTTCAAGAAGGAGAAGAAACGTCTGCGGCGAACAATGACTATTACTTTAAAGGTGCCTTGATTACTGGTATCACCTCGTTCTTTTTGCTCTGTTCTTGTTCAGTCTCCACTTCATTTTTAGTCTTTTCCAGTCTGATTTGGGAAAGAATGTCAGCAGCAACGGCTTTTCTCAATGTTAATCTCATTCACGCAGGATGTGGCATTTAAGGAACTTATAAAATTGTTATTCACAGCTCTACTTCTTACAGCCATTTTAAGAATAAAGGCAAAAAGATTAAAAGTATGTGTCTACGAAAACTCTCATCACGTGAAAAGTAGTTGCTCAAAGCAGAGGGTTTGACGAAAAGATAAGGAAATGACAAGCAAGGAAACAGAACATGTCACGTTATTTCACCGAGCACTTGCTTTTCGTTTCCGGCTTGCTAATGGTAGTGTGCTACGGAAACAGAAATGACCATCGGTACTTTGTTACGGTATAATCCAACCGAAAGAAAAACACTTCATTCCCAAAAACTCAACTGCTTTCAAAGCACAGCGAGTAATGCTCTTAACAAGGAGCGACTCCTAAAAAGCAGCACAACACTTACTGTTAATAAACTTAATTAAGCCCGGTACAGTCTATATCCAAGCTCATTAATTACTGACACAATCTCACTGCTGGCTCCAAAGTTCCTTGAAATGAGCAATCTTCCGCAGTAACTCTCTCTCGGTATAGCTTTCAAAAAAGTCGTCGCTCCGATAACAACAAATACCACTCTTACCACATTAGTGAGTCTTTATATATGTTCACAAAGTGTTCTGGAACATTCCAGAAGCTTACCTAAGAACTATTTTAGTAGTACTACTTAATAAATGCGTGACTTGATGAAATGTTCTTGAAAGTTCTATGGTATGCAAGTCAGCATGACTCAGCTGTCTGGAGATTTCTAGAAGCAACAACAATTACCCAACAACCTTGTGACGAATCAATCCAAGATGGTCTGCCAAACTTCAGAAACGTGAATAAGAGACTTTACAAAATATGGTGAATAAAAAAGGTTCTTTTTTAAATTGAATGAGAAGATGAAAATCAACTAATTACCACTGCAACTTTCTCACTAAACAATGAAACTAATGATAACAACCCCCCCCCGACCTGTTTCTTCCCACCCCACCCCCTCCCCCTTTCGTCTACGTAATCGAAGATCAGTTGCTAAGTTGCTTCAAATAAACTCACCAACGACCTGAGGGAAATTCTTACACGGTGAAGCGCAGTGAAAATCAACTAGATGAAGCTCCGCTGTTAAAGCACTGGCTAAATCTATATTATTTATTTTATTGCGTGGTAGAATTTCTGGTGAATTTTTTCAAATCTAATCTACGAGGAAAATGATAATCAAACGAGGCTTAAGTTCATAGTTGCCTCCACTACCGTAAAAGTGTTATAAATGTTGCGCATACGAAATTTTTTTCCGACCAACTAATATCACTAAGCATGGCCTACCAAGTTTATGTCCAGTTTTCTTAAAGGGCGAAATACTGTTGTGGAAACCTCGAGAGACGTTATTTTCAGAGTTTCTGCATAAAGTTTACAGACTATATTTTAATCTACTTAAAAAGAGATATTGGTCAAGTACCAGAATTTCTGATGAATCGAAAGCGTAGGGTGCTGTTAGGTATGTTTTAATTATGTAATCAGTATTCTTGTGGATACAGATGTTACTGTTTTCTTGTGTTGACGAAATTTCAACCGTCGCTCGTTTTGCTTATCAACATTCGAGGATGAAGTATTTACCTACGCACGGCCATATAAGTTCCTTAAATATCTTATGCCTCGTTCAGTTATCACAGCAAGACGTATTATTTCAATTTTAGAGTCGAAGAACTGGCTACTTTCACAGTACATTTTTTCAAATTATGTATGATCTTGTTTCACTTATCGAAAGTTACTGAGTTAGGTCACGAGAGGCACTTCCCAACTCATCCACGGAATTAAAATACATTTGCTACGAATATCGCTTTCGAGTCAACTCTATCAAAGTATTATAACACGCAATTTCTCTACTACGATGAAATTGCAATATCGTATTTTTGGTGCCAAGTGGTACAAATGTAAACAGAGGAATCGAACAGCCCCAAATGAATCTCGCTCCTCGGTGCTATACCACTGAGTTACGTCCTGCATACCATTGGGATCAGCAATGTCGAAAGTGCTAAATAATTAAGAGGATCGAAGATTCTGAGAATGGTAATTGAGAGATATCTTTCGCCTTGTCACGTTTTGTTATTTTCTTTCTCTTACCCTCACTCGCCAAAACAAATAGCATCTTTTCTTGATTTTGATACAAATATGACTCAGGTGTCTTCATTATCTTCCAAGATGATTATGTTTTCTCTGAGACAGATCTCAGATTTCTGCTCACAGACAGAAGAAAAGAAATAGCTCACTAAAGCTACGTTCGTGCTCAGAAAAGGTAATCTCTATTAAGGACGAAGGAGATGTACAAAGGATTTTGAGACTAAGGATTTTAGAGCCGAAGGAGGCATGAGATGAATTTTGAGGGTATTTAGTGCATAATTTGAGAGAGATTTTTGTGGGGGCTTCACATGATGAAATAATTAACTCTCACGGAAGTGATCTATTTCCCGTCGTCCAAAAAAAGGCTTTCCATGATTTCCGGAATTTCTTTGTGAGTCTATCGAGTCTGAATCACTTTTTTAAAAAGTAATTATTTTAAGCATGACTTTTGCTAAAACAGGAAATCATGCAGTGTTGTGAAGTAAAGCGGAAAATCAGCTATATGGAATAAAACAGACCACGAAACAGTTTATCCCAAGAGGACTTTTTATACACAAAAATGCAATTAACCGTAAGAAAGTTTTTCGAGTTTTGTCCTCGATGGCGCTGCTAACTCTTCTGGTTTTGGTTTGTGAGTGTCTTTTTTGTTTCCATCCTCCCGAGATCGCCTTAAGGTCAAGAAATAATTCATTACTTAGCTAACACTCAGGCGAAGAGGTGACAGAAGGGAATTTACGTGTGTCAATTACTTATTCCTCATTCGCCACGACTTCGTCGTTCGTGATAAGAGGTAGAATACGCTGAAAGCTCAACGGAAACCTCTCTGATAGGAGATTTATCCATGAATGCTGGCAGCGAAAAGTGCTTCACAAAGGCATGTACCATGACGTATTTAAAGTACTTGAATCGGATTAAAACAAGCTGCTGCTGTTTTAAGTCAGGCTTGACTGAGAATACATTTGACGGTCTTTTGAATTTCTCACAGAGGGCGCAGTATAGAGTGCTGCGAAAACTATAGTCAACTATTCAATATCAAAGTATTCGACAGCGTAAGTGTTGATCAAAGTTATCAAGTAAACAACTTCTGGCCACAAACAGGGCAAAAAGTTTAGCTAAATTAATGCAGCGTGACTTCCAGACGTTAGCTTAAATGAATTTTGATAAGTCCTTCATTTGAAAGTGTTTCGTAAGAAAAGCTGATAGTCACTCAAGTGTATAGAGAGATTATGAAACTTGTTCGTGGTGACAAGTTTAAGTTTGTGCAGATGTTAATAATTAAAAGTTTATTTTTTTAGTTCTTCAGTGTCATATCCTTTGTGAGTAAGAACCACTTCCTAAACTTAAAGCTTGGGGCAGTTAAAGATTTTTCCAATCTATCTGATAATTGATGTTTTTTAAAGATATTGTTCTTGCGTGGGAAAACCACCCAAGCGAAGAGGGGCGGAAATCAAGACTATTTAAAGATATAACTTCTAGACATTTACCTCTTCAAAACGTATTGGATTTGCAATACAATAATCATATCGAATGAAAAACGAAGGGAACATGGATTTGGCTTATGGCAGCAGTACCAGTACCCAGACTTTTGGAATGGAGTCTGCAGAAAGTAGGACTATTAATTTCTCTAAAGAGAAACAGAGGCGGTTTCGTCTCGGGCTGTTGACAATCATTTGTGCAGTCTTATTACTTGCCTGTCTTGCTCTCGCTACGTATGCGATCTTGCTCTCGTTTAGGAAAGAAAAAGATGCGACCAAAGACGAGGTGAAGTATTGTACTTCGTCCACATGCTTAGAAGTGGCAGCCGCTGTTAAGAAGAGCCTGAACGAATCCGTGGATCCGTGTGAAGATTTTTATCAGTATTCCTGTGGCAGTTGGATCGAGAACAACCCAATTCCACCATCAGAAACAACAACGGCCACTTTTATAACAGCAGCAAAGAAGAACGATGAAAGATTGTTGCTACTTCTGTTAGAAGACGACGAGCTTCCGCGCGAACATGCCGTGAAGAAAGCGAAGAACTATTTTAAATCTTGCATGACCGAGGACGACGATAACAACACTGCTACAGTTGTTGAGTTAAAAAGCCTTATCCGGCGTTTCGGATCCTGGCCACTAGATGTGGCCACTTGGAATGTCTCAACATGGAGTCTCAATCACGCTTTATTGGAAATCCATCGTGATTATTCTGCTACGACACCCTTGTTTGCGATGACTGTGGATGTGAACCCTTTTGATTCTTCTCGATATATTCTAAAGGTATGACATAACATTTAATTGTAATCATGTTAGGATATGAGTAGTCTCTTTATGATTATATAACTTCTCTTGATGGTAAAGTGCATTCAGTTAAAACTCCGAATGAACAACTGCTCGCAAATTTTTTCTGTAGTTCCAGCCAGTTTATGAATAGTTCTATTCCACATCAGGTGATCTAATCTCCGCTAGATTACTTGTGTTGTTATTTTTACCACGCCGGACACAACAATTTAGAAGTTTATTCTCCTTATGATCAAGTATCTGCAATATTTTTGCAGTTCCACAAAGTTTATGATCCCGTTCCAACTCATTTAATAAAATAACTGGCAGATTTCTTCAGTTTTTATTTGTACTACACCAAACTCTCAACAATTAAGAAGTTCGCTCAACAGCGAAATGATTGACAAGCAACAAGATGAGAAGGGCTTTTGGCGACTGACCATAATTTTGAAACAAGAGGTGTAAATGCATCGAAAGATCTTTGAACTAGCAACTATGCAACTTTAAGTTTGTCTAACATATTATTCCTAGTAAGAGAGCGATCCTGAAGCGCATCCGCGGGGTAAAACATGTTTAACCAGGTTGGACAAGATAAATGCTTTTCCGCGTTTGACCACGACTGCTTCATCACGCGTTAAGGTTATCAAACACAATTTCACAACGTCACAATTTTCAGTAGCATCAAACAAGGTGTTAAAATGAAAACATGAATCAACAGGTGTACTTTTTTGAATATGGGTCAGTCCGAATTTAAATTAAATTCATTTGGCGTCTCAACCGGGCCTTTTTGGTTTTCTCTTTTGTCATAGATCAATCCTCCATCTTTGAGTCTCATTCGGGAACAGTACTTGACAGAGGATAACAAGGTATAAAAATCACGACGTTTTACTTTCAGAAACTAGAAAAATAATTTCCTAAATGTTTACTCAGTGGATCCTGTTCTGAATCAATTGGTGTTCTATTAAAGCTTGCCCCTTGTACGAGAGCTAGTTTTCGCGCTGAAGTATGAATACAGAATTAAATTGAAGTTGTACGAAAACAAAAGAGTTTAACAATGGTAATTTAATTAATTTTGATCTTCCTTTCCTGTATTTTAAATCATTTCAAAAAACTTGCAAAGTTACGTTAGCTGCCAATATAAGCAACAATTCCACCTTCAAGCTGTGAAGTCCCAGACACAAGGAGAATGTACTAGTTTAATGGTCAAAATTTTGTGGCTTGTTATCAACTGAATATGATCAATGTTGAGGGCACTTTGATATCATTAAGTTGGCTGGATTAAACCATTCATCGGCCACGTTATGAGGAATTTTAAAAAGGACATTTCTCGGACATTTTCCATGTGAGCTAGTCAGGATGTTGCGCCGTAGATGAAAAAATCATAACCTCACAATTTATGTTTTATTTTTTGGGGGCCATTTCAGACACGAGTGGCATACGTGAATTACATGACCAAAATAGGAAAGTTGCTTGGAAGTCCTGATAGTAATCAAACAAAAGAACAAATGGAAAAAGTTTTAGAGCTGGAGGGAAAACTGGCCCAGGTAAGTTTATCTCCTTAGAATGAACGAATACGATACATGCAATATAACTTACTGCTGTTTTGTGTTGATATTACAGATAATACCTCCGGCGAGCGAATTGGGAAAGAATTTCCTGCAAAACATGAATATGACGGAGCTCGAGAGATTGGCACCTGGTTTCGAGGTAGGAAATTTCTTATGTTTATTCTGAGCCTGAAAGAGATCTTTGTTGATTCAGCAGCTGGTGTTGAGATCTGATACAGCGACACAAATGCTTATCGAGTTTTCAACGCCAATTCAGTGCTCACTCTAGTTTATGTTCTAAATCTTTTCTTAGCATATTTTGCGACAAAGAGATACGTCTTTAAGGAGCATAATGCTTCACAAGGTGATACGTTCCAAGTCGGTTTCATCACCTGAGGGACACTCGTATAGTCTGCAGTCGATGAGTCTCGATACGCATCAGAAGAAACGTCATAATAGAAGAAACAATAACAGTTTTTGATTCGTGTATTCGCCACGATGAATACCTGATGAATACCTCACAAAATGTTAATTTGATTGAACGTAGAATCACATCATGTCTTCCCATATGATTGGACTTTAATTTTCCGTTTACTCTCACTTTCCATTCGGATTTGATAGGCCCCGAAAAATGCTGCTTATTAAAAAACACATCTTCCTTCCCAAGTTTATTTGGTGTGTTACTGGGAGAATAACATTGCTCTATTATCTGGACACATTTGAATAATGTTAAATGACAGATTGTGGTTCCCTTTTAGTTCACCTGGTTGGAATTTATCAACGAATTGTTAAAACCTTTCAACGTGTCGCTGAACGCTTCAGATATAGTCATGGTCCCTTCGCCAGAGTATCTTCGGAACCTCTCCTACATTGTGAACAACACCAGCAAGGAGTAAGGAGATAAGATACATCTTTCAATAGGCTTGACTTGTAGTTACTTTATGTAATGAATTCGAGGGAGGAATCAAGCCCCGAAAAAGGTAGTGAATAAAACCTTTCAATAAGTCAGTCAGCCATTAAGTCTCACCTGTTGCTAAGCAAAGTTCAAAACCTCTGCTCATCTTTTGTTCAGTATTGGGTATTTATTGAGCTTGTCACTAACCTGCAGTGATCAGTGTATCAACCATCGATGCAGTCAATCCTAGTCAGATATCATTTCAGCCAGGAAGTCCATCATTCAGTCAGTCAGCTAGTCAGTCCACCATTTAGTCAGTCAGACAGTCAGCAGGTCAGTCAACCAGCTGGTAGATCCATCATTCAGCCAATCAGGCAGTCTATCAGCCAGTCAGTCAATTAGTCAGTCCATTATTCAGTCAGCTAGACATCTAGCAGGTCAGTCAGTCAGCTTATAGTAGATCTGTCAGTCGGCAAGTCAGTTATTCACCTGGCCAGTCACTCTGTCAGTCAATCTGTTAATCAGTCTATCAACTACACAAAGATATTTATTCGGTAAAAAAGTAAGTTCATGGAGTCAGACGGAAATTTGATATTTGATACCATCGAAACATCTTTCCTCAGGACAATGGCGAGTTACGTGATCTGGAATTTTGTTCAATCTGTTGTTCCCTACATGTCGCATGTATTCCGGTCTGCTTTATTGGAATATCAGAAGGAGACGATAGGAACCAAATCTGCTCCTCCTCGATGGTATTCGTGCATCGAGGACGAGAATGGCTATTACCATGGACTGACATTTGCTTTGGGATATATATGGATTTCAAAAGTGTTCGACGTTGAAATTATACCATTTGTGAGTACAGCGTACCATTTGAGTATTCCTTGTTAGCAAACTAAGCAGTGGTTTTGTAGACAATCTTAGTGTTTGGCCTTTAGAGAATTATCTAAACACTCCTTCATCACATATACGCACGTAATTCCTTCACCCCTTCTTCTCTGACTCTCCTTCCCACTTCCCCCCCCCTTTACCCTTAAACTTTGCTTTGTTAGTTTAACTGACTTAAACAAGCTAGATTTTGTCTCTGAAATTTCTTACGCAAAATGTTTAAAACTTAAATATGTGTTTTTGTGACAGATTCAAGATATGTCAAAAAGAATAAGGAGTGTATTTAGAAATGAAACGTCCCAACTCGATTGGATTGACGACGAAACTCGACGAAAAATTGACGAAAAGGTGCAGTAAAATTTAACCAAAATCAGAATAGCACACTTTTGATAATATGCATTGGTCACTAACTTTATTAATGACAGGTAATCTAAGATTGTCTACGATTCGATTTTAGGAAGATGCAATGAAATTCCACATTGGCTTTCCCAAGCTCTGTGCCAACGAAACATTACTGAACGAGTTTTACAAAGATGTAAGTGTGCACATACCGTCTAGTATGGAAGTGTGAAGTGATATGAGGCGGGTAAGCGATATTTTGTGATTGCAAAAATCTCTGATCCTTACATCCCGGCATATCCAAGTCTACTCTACAATATTGAAAGCAATCTGCAAAAGTCCTCGCTTAAATTTCCTGGAACTAGAGAATGCAGCTATATTTGTATTTATAAAGCATGAGCAGAAAATCGCTTGCATATACGATTGCAAAGCCAAATGCTTTTTGACAAGCGGCAAAGGGCGACACCGTTACGCTTACATTGAATCTCCTTAATTTGGCAAGATTCCATCTCACAAACAGTCGCAATTTTCTATTCCCTGTAATGATCATACAAATTACGTTGACAACGCAAAGCGGTTCAAAACTAATGTGGACCCACTTTTCGGATCAACTAATGTCAAATTTCCTTTTTAGTTGAACATCAGTGAGAATGATTATCTTAAGAACGTCTTGAGTGTGATGATATGGAAAAGGAGATTGGCCTTTTCAAAACTTAAGACAGCGGTGGACAAAGACCAGTAAGTACAAAAGACCTGATACTTAACTATGAGTGTGCACATTCTAAGCTGACCATCACCATTATATTTTGCAATCAGATGCTCTTCTTACCGTTGTATTCGTGTTTCTAAGGAATCCTCCAGTTCCATTAATATTAGTACCCAATTTTAGCGGTTTACTTTTCCAAAACTATACATGTTATAATCAAATTGAGATGACTGCTTCCAGAGTTGCGATCGGTAATGGACAGTTTGAAATGTTTTCCTAATCCGATCTGTTTTCTTGGGCTCATCATTTTGTTTGATTGCATATTCGCTTGACGGTTTAACGCGCACTCCTTTCGGAGTCTGAAAGCTGGCTGAATGGCATTCAGCCAGCTTTCGTGTGATCCACGAAATGAGATCCACCCTTGCTCAAGGAAGGATTATATAGCATAATGACTAAATAGCATCGATTAAGTAATTTTTTCTTTTCTCTCATCTCAGATGGTTCACTGGACCTCAGAAAGTTAACGCATTTTACTTACGAAGCAGGAACGAAATAAGTAAGTAGGAATCACATCTTAAACAAAGATAGCTTATAGCTATCATTTGACTTTAATTTGTACCAAACCTTTTGAAACGACATCATCCTTATATCATCCCCATATAAAGACTAGAAAAATTGTTGAAATATCTAAGTGCACACACTTAATACCATTAACTTATCTTAATTGAAGAAACAGCACTAAGTTTTTTTTTTTTTTTTTTTTTTACGGTTACCGTCTACTGTAACTATCAAGCTTCACGTTCCTCATATCCCTACTCTTACCACGAGCTTTAAAATTTTCGAAAAGGAAGTTCTTAATCTGAACGTGAACTGTAGCTCGAACATCTCCATTCAAGTTTAACATGACGATGATCTCTTCGGTAGGTATTTTAGCAGGAATTCTTCAGCCTCCATTTTACTACGGACGAAAAGCTCCAAGGTATGAGCAGGATCTCCCTTTCATTTAAAAATAAATAAGTAACGGAACTAAAGGGCAATATCAAACGCTTATTGAAAAATCATCATCAGTGATATTTTAGTTCGAAAGTGTCGAGAGGAGAAAAGTTATAGAAGTCAAAACATAATATTGAAATCAGGCATCTGCTAATGGTCGAGAAATTGATGTGAAGAGACGGATCACTCAAGTTCTACGCAGTTAGAAAACTTTGGATAACTTCAGGAACTTTGCGAGCTCTTTCTCCCTAGAAATATACGCATCTAGTACAATGGTTTGAAACCGTGCAACTAATCGCAGCCACAAAATTCTGTCGCGGAGGCAGAGATTTTCGCAAAAATCTAACATGTCCTACGAGGCAAATTTTCGCTGCGGTGTGTCGAAGTGACTTGTTTTGAGAGCTATACACACGGCGCTGCTTTTCGCGAACAGTTGTTGTTGAAGTTAAAAAGCTTTCCACTCTTTCTTTCTCTTAACTGATTCGAAATATGAAATGACGAGTTATCTTTGTCTGTAAAGTAGATTTAAACGGTCTTTCATATTTATAGGCTAGTTTTGTCCACTTTTCATCTTCAGATCTATAAACCTTGGTGGGATTGGAGTGATTCTAGCACACGAGTTATCTCACGGATTTGACGCCGCTGGTCAGTAGAGCAAAAATGTTAAAAAGTGCTGGTTTTGATTGTACTGAAAGTTTATTCCTGAAAGATATAGCACTTTACATTAATCCTTGATCACGTAGTTTTGAACAGGTTTTGTTTTCGCTATTTATTTCGTTTTTATTTTGCTTATTCTGTATCGCTCAGTTAGAGCATTTTAATCCCACTCTTTGCTGGATTCATCAAGGCCGCGCACATACTGTGGACCTAAAGACCGATAGGATAAGTAGTAGACAGCTTCAGTGACTTTTTCATAACGCTCACGCTTTCCAGGGAGAAAGTTCAACGAGAATGGAGAGGTTGTTGAAGACTGGTGGAGCAGGTCTTCGTCTCAAGGATTCAAAGAGAGATCCAAATGCATTGTGGACCAGTACAGCAAGTTCTCAGTAGATGTTGGAGGTGGAAAAAGAGAAAACGTAAGTTACAAGGAAGAAATCATCAATGAAGCGTTTGGATTTGAATCTCTCTTTTTTCGTGGGAGAGAGGAGGGGGGGAGGTGTATGTATTTGTCTATGTATGCAACCATGGATGTTGTATATAAAGCGTTTATTTAATCGTTTAATTAAGCGTTTATACATATACATATATATAGTGTAAAATTTTTGACTCTCATAAAACAGTGCTCAATACATAAGAGTACAGCGATGTATATATTGTGGGAGGAAAAAGACAAATAAACTACAAGTTCATCCCTACAGGCTTGTAGGGATGAACTTGTAGTTTATTTGTCTTTTTCCTCCCACAATATATATATATATACATATATATATATATGTAAAATGTACGTATTTATCTATGTATTTATACATCCATCCATGCATCCATACATTCATGTATCCTTGCATTTATGCATCCATTTCATGTGGACAATAGCGCTATTGTCCGTTATACTCCGGGACCTTTTCATCGGATGGTTGAAATCGTGCTCGGCAAGTGTCGAGTTCTGGCAAGAATATTTCGGTTGAGTAACTTTTGCCTGAAGGTGACATCCTTTAGCATTAATGTAACTTAAGAGATTTCAAGACAAAAGTTGGGTGTGGGGGGAGGGGAGTGAGAAAGTGAGAAGTGACTGATTGCCACTAAGCAAAGGGTCGCGGTGGGAGTCTAAGTTGTTTCGACCATTTTTTTTTCTTGTCCACTCTGACTTGGTCAGTTTATGGCTCAATTACTTCACAAAAAAAGAAAACATTCAAACGCATTTTATAGGCAGAAAATATTCTTTTTTGCTTTTAAAACTCAACAATCGAAGCATCACTTGAGCAACTTTTTCGCCATTGCTCATTTATTTTCATTGGCTTAAGAAGCATTCAATGTGGTAGCTGATATACAAGATGGCAACTTTAGTTTTTAACTTTGACGAATCGCTTTTTTAAAGTTAAATCAGTGAAAAACTTTTTTAACTTGAACTTCGAAAACATTTTCTTGGAATTCTTTAACAGGTGACTAAGCGCTAGATATATGTAGACCTTTTACTATCAATTCGTCCGTCCATCCATCTATTCATTATCTATCCATCCATCTATCCATCCATGCATGCATCCATCCTACATATATTTATTCACTCATCCATCTATTCATCTACATATCCATTCATCCAACCATCCATAAATCCATCATAAATTTCTCCACCCATCCGTCCTTCTATCCAGCCATCCATCAATCAACCCATCCATC